GGCTACAGAGCAAGACTCCGTCTCAAAAAAAAATAAAAAATAAAAATAAATACAGTTGTAATCTGATGGGACCACTATCAGGTATGTGGCCTGTCACCGACGAGATTATTCTGTAGTCGGCAATGATGGCCATTTTTGGAGATGTGAATCCAGTTCATTTGAGGGAACCCCCAAGGTTCTCTGGTTGTGGCCTCTCGAATAAACCTCACATTTGGACAGTTTGTTACCAAATTGGGTTCTGGATGTTGGGTTCCCTTCAGTGTTGGGGTAGGAGGGAGGGGTCACACCCGCAGAGGCCCCCACCCCCGCCAGCACCAGTGTGGCTGCCACCTGCAGTGCTGATGGCCATGCACCTTATCTTTGCAGGTTGGTGCTGAGGACATGGACGGCTTCCAGGCAGACACAGAGGAGGAGGAAGAGGAGGAGGGCGAGTGTATGATCGTGGACGTCCCGGACGCTGCGGGTGAGAAGGGCTCTAGATAGCAGAACGCACTGGTGAGGTGGGTGGGGGAGGTAAACCTCAACAGGGAAGGGATGGGGCCGCCTAAGACTCGCTCCATTGTGGGCTGCCAGGAGGGTTTGCAGCTGGAAGTGGCTCCTACCCTGTCACATCCTCTGCCACTTGGGCGGAGCCACAAGGGCCTGTGCTGGGAGTCTCCGGTGGCGGGACGTTAGCTGGGGGTCAGGAAATACTGCACTGAGGCGGCAAGGGGGGGCCAGGTGGATTTCTGGAGGACTCCCCAAAGAGGAAGTGCAGAGGCCTTGCAGCAGGCTGTGCAGGAGGAATGTGCCCAGGTGGTGGGGGGCAGGGTCAGCCTGAGAGCAGATGAGCAGGTCACCTCTAGAAGGGGCACAATGCCCCAGCTTCCGCCTGTCCCCACTGTCAGGTGAAGGGTTCCGCCCTGGGGCCGTTGCAGGCCCCATGAGGCAGCAGGGTGGGGTCCTCCCCCAGGGAGCCCAGCAGGCACAGCCAGCTCAAGACCTTCCCTTTCTTGCCCTGCAGAGGTCCAAGCCCCGTGTGGAGCCGCTTCCGGAATTGGGGGTGGTGTGGGGGTGGACACCGGCAAGGCCGCCCTGCCTGCGAGCCCACTGGGCGCGTCGTGAGAGCAGTGGTGACATACATAGAACGCTTAGGGTGTCCTCCCCACGGAGCAGATACTTGAACCGACTCGATTCCTGTGTAAAGAGCACTTTGTCCTGCTTCACGGACCTCCCCAAGGTGTGCAGAGTTCTATATAGGATGCTGGATTAGTTCCTTTGATATTTGTAAAAATTCCCCCAAGAGCTGCATATGAATCTGCCCTTTAATAAAGCATTATTGAGATTGCTGGCCTATCGGGGAAGCCTGCAGGCACAGGAACAGGCGTGGAATCCAGTACTTGTAAATGAATTGAAGCGCCAGGACCACCCACCTGGCCATGTGCACGGGCCCCATGTATAAACGAGGCAGTGTATAAAGAGGCAGTGTATAAACTAATTCTCTAGCACTGAGCTGCTCTGTCTTTTCTGAGAACATCGTGTTTCTCTCAGAATGCGTCGTGTCTGGGGCCAGCCTTGTGCCCTGCAACAGCGCTGTCCCATCTGTTTGACACTAAGTCATCCTCATACCAGGCTGACCTGGGTCAAGGTGCAGGTTTTCCACATGTGCTTCTGTCCAGCGATCCCTCCTGCCCTGGGTTGGGGCGTTAGGAGGCGTTGTTCCCCGGGACCTGCTGGGGTCTCCTTCCTCAAACCAGAGCTGCTGGGAGCTGAGTTTGGCTTGGAGTCTGAGACTTTGTGAGAGCCCACCCCTAGGTCGGGTACATCTTTTGTGAGTGCTGGAGCTAGGAGGTGACCTCTTCCCTGCCCCACGTTGAGTGGGCTTTATCCCCACTGTCCCCGAGGGAGGACTCTGTGGTGATGAACAGCTCAGAGCACACGCAGCCATGGGGAGGGTCACGCTCGCCAGCCCTGCTCCTGGCCACACCCCACCTGCAATCTAAGCTTCCCTTCAGGGAACCCCATGTGGGAAAGGTGTCAGCTACCTCCATCCACCCAGTCAGGGACGGCAGGAGGCCCCAGCCAGGCCTTCCTGCTGGGAAGCAGGATTCGGCTGTGCCTGAATCCCCCTGTGCCACACCTTCGACGAGCTTTAGAGGGGCTCCCAACAACCCAGAGTCAGGGGTTCCTGACAACCTGGAGTCAGGACCTGGGGCCTGCAGGGACGCAAGACTGGAGTGACAGCCTTCATTCTCAACAGGCCGGGTGCCCACACCAGCTAGGGCAGTATCAGGGCGAGGGAGGGACCAATGCAAGGTCAGGGGCATGAGCATAGGCCCTGGGCACCTCCCCCAGGTGCAGACCTGCATCCCCAAGTCAGCAGCGGGCGCGGGGTGCGCATGCCTTCCACACTGCAGGGCGGAGTCCGTGTCTCCTGGGGCTGCCACACCGCAAACCTGGTTTAAAGCAACAGTCACCGTCTCACAGCCTGGGGGTCAGAGTGCACGCGTGCCTCACCAGGCTGACATCAAGCTGTGGGCAGGAGGACCAGGCCCTCCTGAGACTTTCCCAGTGCTCAGAGGCACTGCATCCCTCAGCTCAGGGCCCCTTCCTCCACCTTCACAGCCACAGCGCAGCCTCTTCCAGTCTCTCTGACCTCTGCCTCACCCTCCTGCCACCTCCTGTGAGGACACTGGGTCCCGGACCACCCAGGGTCATCTCAGCTCAAGACCTTTCATCATACAATCCAAGCCCCTCTTGCCAGGTGAAGTCGCGCATCTGCAGGTTCCAGGAAGAGGATGTGGCTGTCTCAGGATGCCCTGTCCCTCTGGCTACAGGGAAGCCAGGCCTGTGACAGCACTCGCCTCCCAAGCTGGGGGAGGCCCGCAGGGACTGGGCCTTTGTGGGCACAGCACAGCCTCCCCTAGCGCATGGGATTTCCTCCCCAGGGAAGTGGCTCATCGGGCACTTGTGGCCAGGCATTGGCCCGAAAGCAGGTATCCGCCTGGTGCTGCCTTGACAGGGAGCCATGCCCAGCCCCCGTGCCGCCTGCTCTGTGTCCCATGGTTTCAATAGAGCACCAAAAAACTATATTCAAACACCCTGTTTATTTGGGCTTATGATTTACTAACTGCAGGTCTGTGTGCGGGAAGGCCAGCGTCCCCTCCTGCCATCGTCACCCACATCCACAGAGCAGCCCTAGTGCCAGGCGCAGCCGCTGCCACCCACAGCGCACGGGAAAGGGACCCATGCTGCAGGCCTGCTCTCCTGCCCAGGGAGATGCCACGTGTGTCTGCCTGGCAGCTTCATGACACAGTTACCAGCAGCTAGGGAGAGCTTAGATTTGGTGGCGTCCCCAGGCCTCTCCCTCGGGGACTTGGGCGCATCTCCACAGCCCCCAGGAGATGGGGGCTCTGCCACGGGGCCCAGTTCCACAGCTCCACAGCTAGCTGGCGCCCCTCCCGTGCCCATGGGGCAGAGCCAAGTATTTCCAGAGGTGGCTTGGAGGCCCTGGGGTGGCGGGGAGAGGAACAGGGAGAGCATGAGACAGACCCACAGGGCTGAGGCCAACCCTGCTTTTATTTCAAGAGAGCTTCTCGATGGCCGACAGGAGCTCAGGTTTCAGGATGGCGTCCGGCTCGACCCCCGCAGCCTTGATGTCCTCCAGCACAGCCATGTCCCACGAGAAGGTCAGGAGGGCAGAGGGCACCTGCGGTGGGGGCAGGCTGTCATTCTGTCTCCATGTGGCCGTGCAGTGGAAGGACAGAGCCGAGCACAGTCGGCCCTTCCCGCCGCGGGAAACTCAGCGGGCAAGCTGGGCTCGGGGATACCCTGGCCTGGAAGCCATCTCAGCTGGTGGAGGCTGTGGCTCACACCCCGGCCTCCTGTCCTCTCCCTCCGGGACTCCCGGAACCTAGGCCTAAACTTACTGCACTAGCTAACACGCGCCACTGCTCCCATTTGACAGGGGAAACTGAGGTGTGTAGTAGTTATGAACTCGCTCAAGGCCCTGTTGCCAGTAAGTGGGAAAGTGGGATTCAAACCCAGGGACCTGCCCAGGCCCCCTGCTCTGAAACAAGGAGGCTCCCTCCTGAGGGGCTGTGCCGGTCCCTGGAGAACCTGCAGAGGCACTGGGTCAGCAGTCCCCTGCGGGCCCACACTCACCAGCCCGCACTCATTCAAGGCCAGGTTCTCGTCCTCCGACAGCTTCTGCCCTCCTGAGGCCAGCAGCTCAAAAGGCAGCCAGTCGCTCTGCAGGGCCTCCCGAACGAACCCGTACACTGCCCCCAGCCGTTCCCGGGCGTAGAAGGTCCCTGGGGAGTGGGGAGGTCAGCGCGGGTGGGGCCCAGGCCCCCCCAATCCGAGCCACCCTCCCTGGGCGTCGCAAGTGCCCACCCTGCAGGAGGCAGCCGTCGGGGAGGCGCACGCGCAGCAGCGTGTAGGTGTACTTGCGCAGCCCCCGCTGCTCCTCCTTCTCCCGCATGGCCTTGGTCCGCAGCACGCTCAGCCGCTCCACTGCGTCGGACCTGCACATGAGGGCCAGGTCAGGAGGGCCGGCCCGGGTTCTCCCACCCCGCCCCACTCCGCTCTGCGGACACCAGGCCCACCTGAGCCTCTGCTCCCGCTTGATCTCCTCTGCTGTGAGGTTGAAGAAGTCCCCGGGCAGTTCGAACTGCGAGGCCAGGGGCGAGGGCTGGAAGACGCGGCGCTGCCGGTCCAGCTTGGCGCGCACGGGCTCCGCAGCCAGCAGCTGTTCCTTGTGCCTCTCCAGGCTCTGGGGCTGGGCCAAGGTGGTCTCGCTCAGCACGTAGAACTCCTCGAGGTCCTCTACAGCGCGGCAGGACGTGGGTATCACTGTGCAGCGGAGAGACCCCCAAGCCCGGCCCTCCTGCCCCGAGGCCCCTTGTCCCCATTCCCCTCAGCCAAGCCCTGTCCGCTTACCCTGATCCTGGATGGGAAGCAACACCTTCTGGAACCCAATGGCCTCAAAAAACTCGTGGGTCCCTTCCAGGCAGTTAATGCGCTCCTAGGGGTGGAGATGGGGGTTACTGGGGACCCCTGGCTTCCTCCATGGCCCAGCCACGTCCCCACCCGGTCCAGGGGCCCAGCTCTCGCTATTGGGAGCAGCTGTTGACCCCTGTATGGGGCCCAGCCCTGGGGGTGCCTCAGTACTAGGTGCAAATCTGCTTTTCTAAGGTGGGGCCTGTGGAGTCTCCACCAGCTCTGCACAGAGGAAAAAGTCACAGCCAGGCACGAAGAGTGAGGCTGAGGAGCCAGACACTGCTGGGGCGTGAAGTGAGGCTAACACAGGCCAGGGCGGCCAGACCCCGCCGTTTCCCCCAGAAGAACCAGACATCTGGTTTGCATGAGAAACCTCCCCAGTGCCGACATGTTCCCAAACAAGCCCAGGAAGAGGAGGAAAAGGATGTGGGTGAGGAGAGGCAGCATTTGTTGATTTGGGGTGACTGGTGCATTCAAATCTTGCTCGCTATCTTGTCCCGCTACCTTCTACTGGCCGAACGCTTCACTGCTTGGGGCTCAACTCTCGCTGGCTCCTCCAGGCACTGCCCGGTGTGGGCCACCACTGGCTCCTGCAGGCCGGCTGCCCCCACCCCCTGCCGGGGCCCAGGGGCCAGAAGACACGCCCACCTGGAACACCTTGTTCTGCAGCTTGATCTTCCGGTACTTCTCCTCCTCGGGGTGCAGGTGGATGTTGTCCAGGTACCTGGGGTAGGTGGAGAGGGTGAGGGGGGCACAGCCCAGGCTGCCCGCCCGGTCCCTCTGTGCCTCCTGCCCCAGGTCAGTGGCTCAGCCACACTTGGCCTCTAGTCAGAGGGAAGAAGCGGCCCAGTGACTCCAGGGCAGGAGACCGTCTCCAGGTGGAAGGCATACCTCGCACACCCCACGGAGCCCACCCCTGGTGCCAGCAGGAGCCCCATGGGACCCCTCACTGTCCCACCAGCCCCGGAAGGGCACCAGTGAACCACAGCGGTGGGGGAGCCACAGGGCAGGAAGAGTGGAGAGCCAGAGCCGGGGGGCCGCAGCGCCAGCAGGGGGCTCCTGTGGGGGGCTCCCTCGGGGCTGGCGGGCAGCGTGGACTTCCAGGCCTGTCCCCAATCCTGAGACTCGGGGAGTGGGGTGGGACCCTGCCTCCTCCACACGTTCCCCGAGTGGTCCCCAAGGAAGCCAGGGTGGGCAACCCCTGATTCCGTAAACACCTTCATTTCACACATGGGTAAACAGACCCAAAGAGGCCCAGTCCTTTGCCCGAGGCCTCTGGGTGGAGCTGCCTCACTCTCAGCCTGTGCTCCCTTCCTAGCCCACCTCAGCAGGTCATGAGGGCACCAGAGAGGGTGACAGCCCCAGTGGGAAGGGTGCTGGGGCGAGCCGGAGGGGCCAGGCAGGGCAAAGGGGCCACGCACTCACTTGGCAATGGTGTCCACGCCCAGCTTCACCCGGTCCCGGTCTTTGTTGAACGTGTGGATCTTCATGATGGAGGCAGCCACTGGGTCGGTGGAGAAGTGCTGGGAGGAGGGAAACAGGGAAAGCTGCTCACTGAGAACCCGGGCCGCACGGCCCTCCGCTGCCCAGGTAACAGGGACAGGAAGAGGAAGGCAGAGCAGCGGCGTGGAGCAGCCCTAGCTGTGCACTCATCACAGAAAGGAAAAGAGAGACCCTCGAAGACCCCGGCCCTGCCCACACGCCAGGGCAGAGGCGACACAGCCAAGACGGACCAGAACTCAGGTCTGCCCTTCCGCCTTCTCAAGGCTAGACCCACGGGACTTGGGGGCCGGTGTGACGTGACAGAACTTTGCCTCGCACTCTGGCTTTAGAACTCGACCTCAGTGCTGAGATCCACCAAGGCCGCTGCCCCTTACAGAACCTCCCGCCACCATGGACACCACATCCCTCCTGATCTCACAGCCCCATGATGGACATTCCGGAACGACTCCCGGGTCTCATGTCAAGAAAGAGACCCAGAGGCCCCTTGTCACAGGGATGGCAGGTGGCAGAGAGGACACAAATGAGTCTGCAACCCTCAATGTCTGAAACTCAATGGCTGGAAGACGGATACCCCCAGCCCCTGCCCCACCCCGAGGTCCCGCCTATGTTACTAGGGGAGGGGAGAAGTCACAGCCAGAATTCCTGGGGTTTCCCAGAGCCAGCCCTGCTGACTGCGATGTACAGCGTCCCAGCACGGAGAGGCTAAGAACAGGTACCCTAAGACCCGGACAAGACTGAGGCACAAATCCATTCACGCTCAGCACAGCTACCGCACACGGCCACACCCAGAGAGCCACCCATGGCCTGCCAAGCAGCGCTGCCACCCGCACCTCCCTGGGCTGCCCAGATGAGGGCGGGTGAACAGCAGGGCCGCCCAGGGCCACGTGTCAGGATTCAGGCCACCTGCCCAGGCAGCCCAGAGCTCTACCCACCACCCCCACCCTCAACTGCACAACAGGGTCCCTCAGCAGCCCCCTGCGTCACACAGACCCATGACCCACACACTGAGCCGGGGCTCATGCCAACAGAAAACTGGGACCCAGCCCAGTCTGCCGGTTTAGTTGCCGAGGTGATGTGGGCAGCAGGGCAGAGCTCGCGGCTGCAGAGAGAGGCAGAGCTGCGAGACACCCCTGCCGTCCCCAGGACAACAGCTTCCTGGGGATCAGAGTGCCTGGGACAGCACACCTGCCAAGGGAAGGGCGTCAGCTCCAAAAGCGGCCCTCGGGCGTTTTAGGCGACTGGCCGCCAGGCTTAGGTCAGGAGCTGGGTACGTGCGCAGACAAGGGACGAAGGAACAGTGGCCAGGAAGGCGTCCAAATCCATACAGGAATGTACTTTGTAAGAAAGGTGGGATTTCACAACTGTGAGCAAAAGACAGGTGCTCTCCACAGGTGGGGCTGAGAAGAGAACTGAGCCAAGATCTAGAAAAAAATAACATCAGCTCCACCCTGCCGTGTTACATAATAACACGCTCCAGCTGGATCAAAGCTTCAACCATGGAAACAACAAGCCAGCAGTCAGTGAGAAGCCAGAAGAAAAGCACTGGAGGCCGGGCGCGGTGGCTCACGCCTGGAATCCCAGCACTTTGGGAGGCCGAGGTGGGTGGATCACGAGGTCAGGAGATCGAGACCATTCTGGCCAACATGGTGAAACCCCATCTCTACTAAAAATACAAAAGTCAGCCGGGCATGGTGGCAGGCGCCTGTAGTCCTAGCTACTCGGGAGGCTAAGGCAGGAGAATCGCTTGAACCCGGGAAGCGGAGGTTGTGGTGAGCCGAGATTGCACCACTGTACTCCAGCCTAGTGACAGAGCAAGACTCTGTCTCAAAAAAAATAAAATAAAATAACAGTGGAGAGGCCACAAAAGAATTCTCTCAGCATGGAAGTGGGTAAAGCATTTCTAAGAATGGCCCCACCGGCCGGGCGCGGTGGCTCAAGCCTGTAATCCCAGCACTTTGGGAGGCCGAGACGGGCGGATCACAAGGTCAGGAGATCAAGACCATCCTGGCTATCACGGTGAAACCCCGTCTCTACTAAAAATACAAAAAATTAGCCGGGCGCGGTGGCGGGCGCCTGTAGTCCCAGCTACTCGGGAGGCTGAGGCAGGAGAATGGCGTAACCCGGGAGGCGGAGCTTGCAGTGAGCTGAGATCCGGCCACTGTACTCCAGCCTGGGCAGCAGAGCGAGACTCCGTCTCAAAAAAAAAACAAACCAAAAAAAAAAAAAGAATGGCCCCAAACCCAAAAGTCATGAAATAAGACTGACACATTTAATTATACAGAGATCAAAAAATCCTACACAGCAAAGCGAACATAAGCAGAGCCAGCATATGAGCAACTAGAGGGAAATATGTGCAACTCACATCATAGGCAAAAGCCTGAATTGCCTAATATATAAAGAGTGCCTACAAATCACTAAGAAAAAGACAAACTATCTAATAATGTACAAAGAATGTATTTTCATATGAAACATGGCCAACCCAACCCAAAATAAGGAAAGTGCAAATTAAATCTATCCTGGGATGTTATTTTCACTTGTCAATAGGGGTAAAGATCAAAGTTTGGTGATTTACAGTACGGTGAGAGGATGGGGACACGGGTGCTTTTGCACACACTGCTGGAGTAGGTGTGAGTCTGGAGAGTCTCTATGGAACTGTTACTATTTTTTTTTTTAGACGAAGTTTTGCTCTTGTTGCCCAGTGCCCAGGCTGGAGCTCAATGGCACAATCTCGGCTCACGGCAACCTCTCCCTCCGGGGTTCAAGTGATTATCCTGCTGCAGCCTCCCGAGTAGCTGGGATACAGGCGCCTGTCACCACGCCTGGCTAATTTTTGTATGTTTAGTAGATACGGGGTTTCACTATATTGACCAGGCTGGTATTGAACTTCTGACCTCAGGTGATCCACCTGCCTCGGCCTCCCAAAGTGCTGGGATTACAGGCGTGAGCCACCGCGCCTGGCTACTGTTATTACTTTTTGAGAAAGGGTCTCACATATCACCCAGGCTGGTGTGCAGTGGCCTGATCACGGCTCACTGCAGCCTTCACCTCCCAGGCTCAAGCAATCCTCCTACCTTGGCCTTCTGAGTAGCAGGGACTACAGGTGCACGGCACCATGCCCAGCTAATTTGTTTCTGTTGTTGTGTTTGGTAGAGATAGGGTTTTGCCATGTTGCCCAGGCTAAAGTCGAAGTTTCTGAGAACCAGTTGATGGTGTTAAGTGAAGACTTGCTGTATTAGGGGAAAAAAAAAATGCTGTGGAAGTTATTTTTGTTCTTTTTGTTTGTTTTTTGTTTTTTGAGACTGAGTTTTGCTCTTGTTGCCCAGGCTGGAATGCAATGGCACGATCTCAGCTCACCACAACCTCCGCCTCCCAGATTCAAGCAATTATTTTGCCTCAGCCTCCCGAGTAGCTGGGATTGCAGGCATATGCCACCACGCCTGGCTAATTTTGTAGGAAGTTCTTTCTGTACCGAAGCAAATAATACATAACCTTTTATGAAAAAACCAGGCCAGGCACGGTGGCTCACGCCTGTAATCCCAGCACTTTGGGAGGCTGAGGCGGGTGGGTCACTTGAGGCAAAAGTTCGAGACCAGTATGGTCAACATGGTAAAACCCCATCTCTACTAAAAATACAAAAATTAGCTGGGCGTGGTGGCATCCACCTGTAATCCCAGCTACTTGGGAGGCTGAGGCAGGAGAATCACTTGAATCCAGGAGGCAGAGGTTGTAGTGAGCCGAGAATGCACCACTGCACTCCAGCCTGGGTGACAGAGTGAGACTCCATCTCAAAAAAAAAGACAACCCTAGCTGGGAAAGAGGAGATACGGATGCATACACAATGGTGTGCCTGGATTCGGGGTATCAGAAGAGGGACTTCACTACGAGCAGTGGGCTCTGGGGACTCTGGGAGGGACCTGTGCCACCTGGGCTTCCGATGGGGGGTGGCTCAGGCACAGGAAGCTACAGGTTGGGGCAGGAGCACACGGGGCGCCACTCACCGAAAGAATGGCTTCCTTGATGCGGGCGTCCCGCTGGTCCTTCCTCAGGGTGGCCCCAGTGAGCGGACAGGTGAAGTACACACCAGGCACAGCCAGGTGGGCAGAGCCTTCCTCTCTGGGCTCAGATACCTGGGGCGGTGAAAGTGTCTGAGTCTGGACTGTGGACAGAAGCCACCCCGAGCCTCGCCGAGCACCACAGTCCTGAGTGTGGCCCGCAAAACCAGGTATCTCTAGCCCCCATGCTGTCCCTTCCACTTGGTGGCCATGGGAAACACCCTGGCCAAGTGACTGGATCCCTCAGTCTGTTCCCTGGTATGTCAAATGTCCCTGTGGGGCCTACTCAGAACTAAACAAGGTAAGGAAAGGAAAGCACAGAGCAGCTTCTGACACGCAGGAAGCACTCAGCAGACGGCAGCTGGGCTCCTGCTGGTCCTGTCCTCAAGCTGGTGAGGAAGGAGCTCTGCGTGGGAGTCCATGGGCACAGTGCCCTGGACAAGGCCTGACTTTGGGGCCTCCATTTCTAGGCCATCTCTAAGGTCCCTGCATGCTAAAATTCACTGAATCCTCCAGGATCAAGCTGCTTAGAACTCCTTTCAGCAGAGCTCTCAAAGCCCACCTCCTACAGGAAGGCCTCCCTGATTCCACCCGTCTCCACGGAGCCCCTTGACCTCCAAGGCAGGCAGGAGCAGGCAGTGGTAGGGGACAGGCTCTGAAGCCACAGACTAGCCGGTCCTGTCTTTGCTGGTTCTGGGGTGTAGGAGAGAGGACAGCTGGTTTGACCTCTCTCAACCCCAGTTCTCTTTCTGAAAAGTGAGAACTGTAACTGCATCCACCTTAAGGGATTAAGGGGAGGGAGCGATGGGCTTATGTACCTGAGGCCCACTTCTCCAGGCCTGAGCCAGCATCCTCAGCTGCTGAGCCCCGAAGGTCCAGACAGCACCATGTTCCACCACAACCCGCCTCCACCTTGCAAGGCAAGGTTTCCTAACCACCCTGGAGCCCCAAGGTCCAGGCCACATCTCCCCTACGATGAAGTCAAGCTGTCCCCACCCCTCAGCGTGGGACAGTGCCACCAGTGGCTGTTCTTACCACGTTGGTCCCTGGGGCCTCGGGGCTCCCGCTGATGGTGGCTTCGGCTTGAAGTTCCTTTCTCACTGGAAGGCGGCCCAAGAAGGAGAAGCAGAGACAGGATGGTGAGCACGCCTCTGTCCTGGCCCGAGCCGTCTCATTCCTGGGGTGGGCCCGTGAGCCACGCACAACCTCCTGCTGATGCTGGAGGTCAGGCTGGAGGTCCCCTGCAGGACTCGCTCTGCACCCACCCCTCAGCCTGAGCCAGCACCCCACTGCCCGCGCAGTCCCTGTTTCTGCTCCAGGTCTCTGCTCCCACGCCCTCCCCAGGAAGCTGCCCTTCCCCCAGCACCGGCCCTTGGTGAGTCGCTCCCAAGGGTGACCCTCACACCCCCACAGCTGCTCATGTGACTTCTGCGTCCAGGGCCAGGCACTAGGGCTGGGAACCTCAAACAGCCCTGACCTGGGCCCGAGGCGGGCCACACCTCACCCTGGTTTCGGATGCTGTCCTGCGACGTGGGGCCCCAGGCCCGGGACTGCTTCTGCTCCAGCCGGGCCAGGGCGGCAGCGGCTGCCATCTGTGCCTCATTGGTGGGTCCCTGGCGGGGCGGCCTTGGGGCCGGCTGGCTGGACTTCTGTTTGGGGGCCTTTTCCCTGGGGACAGACGGAGGGAGAGCGAGTGTATCCTCCTGAGGTGGCTGGCAAACCTGACGTGTGGTTACACAGGGGAGCTTCTGCTGCTCCCCAGCTCCTGCCACCAGCACCACCAGTCAGACGTGTCCCTGCCTATGCGGGCCAGGATGCCTGCTTCCCAGGGGCCACCCGCAGCCACCAGATGGTTCTTCTGCAAGCGGAAGAGCCCCTGGAGGAAGGAGATGCTCGTTCCGCTCAGTTCTGCACCATCAGGCAAGTCCTGCCCCCACTGGGCCTCAGCATCCTCGTTTGTAAAATGGGGTGGCAGCACCCCTCCCGAGGTGAAGGCACCTTGATATCCTCAGTGCTTTTTTTTTCTTTTTGAGACAGGGTCTTGCTCTGTCACCCATGCTGGAGTACAGTGGCACGATCATGGCTCACTGCAACCCTGAGTTCCCAGGCTCAAGGAATCCTCCCGCCTCAGCCTCCCAAGTAGCTGGGACTTGGAGGCAAGCATCATCACACATGGCTAATTTTTCTATCGAGACAGGGTCTTGCTGTGTAGCTCAGGCTGGTCTCGAACTCTTGGCCTCAAATGATCCTCCCACCATGGCCTCCCAAACTACTGGGACTACAGGCACGAGCCACAGCGCCCACATCCTCAGGAATTGAGGAGACTCAAAGGATGCCACATCCTCCCCAGCTCCCTGCTGTGAGAG